TGTTGCACTGTATTTCATTATAGGCGTTTTTACAGTGTTGCGCATTATAACCAATCACACACGATTCTGTTGAGCTTAGGAACGCAGTGGCCAATCAGAGGCGTTCAGATGAGTCATCGCTGAAACTCATCAGCTGAGCTTTGTTGAGTGCGCGTGTGTGCGATGACTGAATTCCGCGAATTCTCTCATCATAAACAACAAAGCGCAGATGTAGTACAATGTAAGGGATTAATTTCGCAGTATAGACAGCTTCAGTGATTATAACGGTAGTTTTGTTTTTTTTAAGAGTGCCATAGATCAAAGTTAGTGATAATGTCATTTCTGTACATCATTTATTCGCCGTTTGAATAACCGTGGGAAGGAAATGTTATATAATTATCAATTTCTAATGTTTTAATTAAATTGTAATCACAATAAATACAAATTCAGTCCCATTAAACATATTTTATTAGCCTACATGACACCCTGGTTCTTGCCTAAAAGACAGGTTTATAATGTTTGTAGTTAATAGATTTGGTTGTTGGTTGGTTCTCCCTCCGCCTATGTCTGTGCGATAATATAGTTTACATTTTGCGATATATCCAGCTATACTATATATCCAACTTTATCTGTGCAATAATAGTTAAATTTTTGTTATATATCCAACTATACTATATATTCAACTTTATATAAATAGCTGGGCGATAATATAGTAACATTTTGCGATGATATAATCAATCACACAGATGAGATTTGCTAGGTATGACTGTATACATCACATATGTGTGTAAATCCTGGGTTAGTGAAGAGGATTTGCTGAATGATTGTTGATCTGTTAGCAGTTGTGATCCGTGCCCCTGCTGACCTCCCTCCTCCTCCTCGTGACCCCTGTGACCCCTGTGACCCTGAGCCCGCCCCTGCACAGGTCAGTGTGTTTCCCCGCAGCAGTGTGTAGTTCTCTGTGCGTCACTGACACGCTCTTGTTCTTCTGGCAGGAGAGCGCTGCGGGTAAAGCGCTGCTGAGGCCGGCGCCCTCTGCTGGAGGAGACGTGAACGAGCCGTCAGCTGGTGAGAACCCTGGCGTTAACATGACAAACCCTACAGGAGAAGAGTCATTTCAGACGCTTTCTGTGTCTCTCAGATGTGTGTGGATTCTGCCGTAAGCCGGTGCCGCTGTCCGAACCCGCCATCGAGGCCCTGAACCGGACGTACCACGCCGCGTGCTTCCGGTGCCGGCAGTGCCACGCTCCGCTGGCAGCCAAGATCTACTACAACAAATCTGGCACTCCTCTGTGTGCCGACTGCTACCAGGTACCTGCCTCTGCAAACACGCTCATCAGCTCACTGCAGATATGCTCTCCGCATTCATCTCGAGAGTCTGCGCTGGACCCTCTGTAGAAACTACCATGAATTCACGTGATGTGAAAGTAATTCAACTTTCTGTTTCTGACTCCCACTTGTCATGGAGAAGAAAGACAGACAGTATTTATTTATTTCCAGATAACTATTAAAAATTTTGTATTATCCATGCAAGATGAGATATACTGTATATAAAATGTTCTTTTTAATTATTATTGTTATATAGAAGCCCGTGGTGGGATAAAATGAGAAAGGTAATTGTGACTTTTCAGCTCAGAAAGAGATAAACTCAGAATTCTGATTTCTGTCTTGCAATTTGGACTTTTTTTCTCAGTATTGCGAGAAACTGAAAGTCTGAATTGTGAGATAACAAATGGCAAAACCTTTTTTTATCCTGTGGAGGAAGCGGGCGTCCATATGTGTAATTATCCTTCTGCACTTTAATCTGAAAGTTTTGTTTACTTCATATATCTTGGGTATGTTTTTGTGCATTAAATTTCGTTTTACTGCCTTTACATTTTCTATTTGTTATATGATTGTTATTATTATTACATTTGTTATTAAGAGGACAGCGCTTACATTTCTGTAACTTAATTCAAAAGCATGAATGATGTTAATGCAGGTTATGTTATAAGAAACCAAACTCACTCCGCAGGCCAGTCTGGAGCCGTGCTGGGCCTGCGGTGACGTCATCAAGGACCATGTGATCCGAGCGCTGGAACGAGCCTATCACCCGCCGTGTTTCGTGTGCGCGACGTGCAGACAGCCAATCGGAGAGCAGAGGTTTGCGCAGGGCGAAGTGGGCGAGGTTTACTGCCTGCGGGACTACTACAGGTACGTAATGTTAATACACTGCTGGCTCAAAGTTATCTGGTCTTTCATAACGTTCTCAAAACATTAGCACAATAAAGCTTTCAGTTGGATTTTTTAAACGTCACTAGTTTCAGACAACATTCAAAAGTAACATTCCCACAGTGCTTGCAGAATGATACAATGATACAATGGAATGTTGTTTTTAAACTCTGAGAACATTCAAAAGTAACATTAGCCAAACGTCCTTGGGACGTGTTTAGCTAGCGGGGTGAACGGCTGATGCTGAACACGAGGCTGTGTCTGCAGGAAGTACGCGCCGCAGTGTCACGTGTGCGGAGAGCTGATCATCCCGCGCGAGGACGGAACCGACAGCTACACGGTGGAGTGCTTGGGTCACTCGTACCACGAGGACTGTTACCGCTGCGAGGTGCGTGATTACACTAGTTATGCACAATATGCAGTGGTTTTAAGTGCATGAGAAACCCAGATGGCCCACTTCAGCAGCCAGCCATTTGATTAATTAGCATTAAAGGAACTGGAGGTGGCTTTTCAGTGTTGTGTGTGTTTCAGGTGTGCAGTGTGCTGCTGTCTCCGGAGCCCAACGAGACCGGCTGCCACCCGCTGGATGGACAGATCCTGTGTAAACCGTGTCACGAGTCGCTGATCCAGAGCCCACCGCATTAAACCTGCATTAAACCATGTGATGATGATGACGACACACCGATTGTATTAGAAACTGCAGCGTTGGGACCATTAATGCTTTCTTACCCTGCCAGCACACGCACATCTCAGAGACGTCTGCAAGAGTGTTTGCTCATCTGCTATACGGCTACAGGACGCTTCCTATCAGACGTCTGTCAGATGTTTGTACACAGCAGATGCTTTCCAGATCTTTAACAGACGTCTCGCAGACGTGCCTGTGCTGTCTTACCATTCCTCTGATTATATCAATGTATCCGACATATCAACTGTAATGTGGTCTTCTGCACTCTTTCTTGTAATATGCACCAAATGCAAAGCACCAAAGATATTTATTTAGAAGCAGCAGCACCAAAACCCCATATTCAGTGTTATTTCCAGTGTAATAGGAACACACCCGACTCAAATAAACGACTAATATATGATCTCTCGTGCTTGACTGCTTTATGTCCACTGTGATATTTATCTGCATAAATTGATATTAAAGGGGTCATATGATGCTGCTAAAAAGAACATTATTTTGTGTATTTGGTGTAATGAAATGTGTTTATGCGGTTTAAAGTTAAAAAAACACATTATTTTCCACATACTGTACATTATTGTTTCTCCTCTATGCCCCGCCTTTTGAAACGCGTCGATTTTTACAAAAC